GGTTCCTGTGTTAGTTTCCTGAGAATGATGGTTTCCGGCTTCATCCACATCCCAGCAAATGACATGAACTCATTCTTTTTCATGACTGCATAGTAATTTGTGGTATATGTGCCACATTTTCTTTATCTAGTCTATCATTGATGGGCATTTGGGTTGATTCCAAGTCTTTGCTATTGTGAATAATGCTGCAATAAACATATGTGTGCATGTGTCTTTATAGTAGAATGATTTATAATTTTTTGGATATATACCCAGTAATGGGATTGCTGGATCAAATGGTATTTCTAGTTCTAGATCCTTGAGGAATCACCATACTGTCTTCCACAATGGTTGAACTAATTTACACTCCCACCAACAATATAAAAGCGATTCTACTTCTCCAGATCCTCTCCAGCATCTGTTGTTTCCTGACCTTTTAAAAGTCGCCATTCTAACTGGCATGAGATAGTATCTCTTTGTGGTTTTGATTTGCATTTCTCTAATGACCAGTGCTGATGACCTTTTTTTATATAAGTTTGTTAGCCACATAAATGTCTTATTTTAAAAAGTATCTATTCATATATTTTGTCCACTTTTTGTTTGTTTTTTTCTTGTAAATTTGTTTAAGTTCCTTGTAGATTCTGGATATTAACCTTTGTCAGATGGACAGATTGCAAAAATTTTCTCTCATTCTGTAGGTTTCCTGTTCATTCTCCACCACAAATCAACAGAATATACATTATTTTCAGCACCACATAGCACTTATCCTAAAACCAACCACATAATTGAAAGTAAAACACTCCTCAGCAAATGCAAAATAACATAAATCATAACAAACAGTTTCTAAGACCACAGTGCAATCAAATTAGAACTGAGGATTAAGAAACTCACTCAAAATCGCACAACTACATAGAAACTGAACAACCTGCTTCTGCATGATGACTGGGGAAATAATGAAATTAAGGCAGAAACAAGTAAGTTCTTTGAAACCAATGAGAACAAAGACACAATGTACCAGAATCTCTGGGACACAGTTAAAGCAGTGTTTAGAGGGAAATTTATAGCACTAAATGCCCACTGAAGAAAACAAGAAAGATCTAAAATCAACACGCTATCATCACAATTAAAAGAACTAGAGAAGAAAGAGCAAACAAATTCAAAAGCTAGCAGAAGATAAGAAATAACTAAGAGCAGAACCGAAGGAGATAGAGACACAAAAAGCCCTTTAAAAAAATCAATGAATCTAGTTGTTGGTTTTTTGAAAAGATTAACAAAATAGACCACTAGCCAGACTAATAAAGAAGAAAAGATAAAAGAATCAAATAGACACAATAAAAAATGATTAAAAGGATATCACCATTGATCCCACAGAAATATAAACTACCATCAGGGGACAATATAAACACCTCTATGCAAGTAAACTAGAAAATCTACAAGAAATGGATAAGTTCCTGGACACATACACCCTCTCTAGACTAAACTAGGAAGAAGTCAAATCCCTGAATAGACCAATAACAAGTTCTGAAATTGAAGCAGTAATTAATAGCCTACCAACCAAAAAATAAAAAAAGCCCAGGACCAGATAGATTCACAGATGAATTCTACCAGAGGCACAAAGAAGAGCTGGTACTATTCCTTCTGAAACTATTCCAAACAATAGAAAAAGAGGGACTGCTCCCCAACTCATTTTATGAGGCCAGCATCATTCTGATACCAAAACCTGGCAGAGACACAACAAAAAAAGAAAATTTCAGGCCAATATCCCTGATGAACATTAATGCAAAAATCCTCAATACAATACCAGCAAACTGAATCCATTAGCACATTAAAAAGCTTATCCACCATGATTAAGTTGGCTTCATCCCTGGAATGCAAGGCTCGTTCAATATGCTCAAATCAATAAATGTAATCCATCACATAAACAGAACCAAAGACCAAACCACATGACTCTCTCAAGAGACACAGAAAAGGCCTTTGATAAAATTCAACACCTCTTCATGCTAAAAACATTCAATAAACTAGGTATTGATTAAACTCTCAAAATAATAAAAGCTATTTATGACAAACCCTCAGCCAGTATCATACTGAATAGGCAAAAGCTGGAAGCATTCCCTTTGAAAACCAGCACAAGACAAGGATGCCTCTCTCACTACTCCTATTCAGCATAATATTGGAAGTTCTCACCAGAGCAATCAGGCAACAGAAAGAAATAAAGCATATTCAAATAGGAAGGCAGGAAGTCAAATTATCTTTGTTTGCAGATAACATGCTTGTACATTTAGAAAACCCCATCGTCTCAGCCCAAAATCTAAAGCTGATAAGAAATTTCAGCAAAGTCTCAGGATACAAAATCAATGTGTAAAAATCACAAACATTCCTATACACCAATAATAGAGAGCCAAATCATGAGCAAATTCCCATTCACAATTGCTACAAAGAGAATAAAATATCTAGGAATACAACTTACAAAGGATATGAAGAACCTCTTCAAGGAGAACTACAAACCACTGCTCAAGAGAGAACACAAACAAATGGAAAAACATTCCCTGCTCATAGATAGGAAGAATCAACATTGTGAAAATGGCCATACTGCCCAAAGTAATTTATAGATTCAATGCTATTCCATCAAGCTACCATTGACTTTCCTCACAGAATTAGAAAAAAACCACTTTAAATTTTACATGGAACCAAAAAAGAACCATATAGCCAAGGCAATCCTAAGCAAAAAGAACAAAGCTGGAGGCATCACGCTACCTGACTTCAAGCTATACTACAAGTCTACAGTAACCAAAACAGCATGGTACTGGTACCAAAACAGACATATAAACCAATGGAACAGAACAGAGGCCTCAGAAATAATGCCACACATCTACAATCATCTGATCTTTGACAAAACTGACAAAAACAAACAATGGGGCAAGGATTCCCTATTTAATCAATGGTGTTGGGAAAGCTGGCTAGTCATATGCAGAAAACTGAAACTGGACTCCTTCTTTACATCTTATACAAAAATTAACTCAAGGTGAATTAAAGATTTAAATGTAAGTTCTAAAACCATAAAAACCCTAGAGGAAAACCTAGGCAATACCATTCCAGACAGGCATGGGCAAAGACTTCATGACTAAAACGCCAAAGGCAATGGCAACAAAAGCTGCAATTGACAAATGGGATCTAACTAACTAAAGAGCTTCTTCTCAGCAAAAGAAGTTTATTTTCAAAACCAACAAATACCAACCAATTCACTACTCACCCAGTCAACCAAAAACCTTTAAAAATGACAGTATGTAAGGGGGCACAATTCACTGCTGAAATAAGGTTTTAAGAAAGACACCCCTACTATTCAAAATGTGGGCCTTGGACCAACTGGATCAGCATCATGTTGGAAATGCAGAACCTCAGGTGCCATTCGAGACTCAGTAAAATGCATTTTTATATGCACATTTTAGTTTGAGAGTACTACTAGATGCTCTTCATAAAAATTCAAAATATATGTAGTGTTATGTATTGTTTAATTTTGTTTAATTCAATGTTAACCAATGTTATTTGATCATACATTCTTTTTTTAATAGAATACTCATTTAACATTGCATGGAAATTGTGGAACACAGTTTGAGTGATGTTGAGGTAATAACTAAAGTCCTTCCAAACAAAGCATATTATGTCTGTGTTAACTATATAGACATAGATACACACACACACACACACACACACACAGGTATATATAGATATATAACAATTAAACTATTATCTATCTACATATCTAGTAAAAGTAGCCATAATTCTGTGCATACGTTTAATAAAACATAAAAGGAAAATTGATTTATTAGATTTGAGAAAAATGGTGGAATGTGTTAAGTTCCTAGTTAAGAGAAGAAATTTTGTGAAAAGTCAATCAAGATATCAGTGTCTACTGGGGAACGTTTCTGTGGGGCTGGGTTTTCCTTTTACTTTTCAAGATCTTTTCCAAAACATTCATTCTTCATTAATAGGGGCTAATTTTTATGTACTTTCTTCTACTTGTTCCTATTCAAATACGTTATTTATAGAAGGCATGTTGTTTTGGGGACTGTTAACATTTCCAAGGTTTTTAAGATTGTTAGTTTTTATGTGAAGCTTCCTTGGGTAAGTTCAAATTGATGATAAGGATTTGGACTTAATTTGATGTTATTGGAAGTAATCTGAAAATAACAATCCTTCCTAGTTGTGGTGATTCAATCATTTAAGCCAATATTTCAAACAGGAAATTATACTTTGCCTTTATATTCTCTTAGTGTCTATTGAAAAGCACAAGAATTTCACCCTTCCACCGAAAAAAAGCACATGGATCTAGGATGGTGGCTCCTTTTATTCCAGAGACTAAAAGCTTGAGAATAGAAAGGGCTTTGTCATTGCGGATCTCACTTTATTCTACACAACCTTAGGAATGGGCAGGAATAAGAGTGAAATCATGCTATGGCTGTAAGAAAGCGTGGTAGATGAGATAATTTCAGGTGGTATAGGCAGATATTTTATTATAATGGCCATGAATTTATGTGAGAAAAGATATAATCAGTACAACCTATGTAACACTTCCTAGATATTATCATTTAGAATGAGGTTAAGTTCAAAAAGTGAGGCCACTTTAGAAAGCAAATAACATTAGAGGTGTGTATACAATAAAAATTAGGAGTGTGGTAATGTAAAGACTGCAATGTGGGAAATACTCCTCTAAGCCAATCCTTTTGTTCTGCAGATGGAAATGAAGCCCTCCATATATGGAAGTTAATGGGATTAGGGCCGAGCAATTTTTACTTCTCAAAATCAAATTTAAATCCGTATAATAGACTCAGATAAAAATACCTTAAGTGTATCTAAAATATCCTTAAGATATAGAAGTCATCGATCACAATGAATGTCTACTTCCTCAGATATTAGACAATTGATTATATGCATACAGCTCATATTTTTCAGGATTCTCCAAAGCATTCAGATGCATTCTAATAGTAAAGTAAAATAACTTCTCCCTCCTTTTGAATAGGTTGTATTTACCTTACTTTAGATATGAACACTGTCATTGGGATTTACCTCATACCTGTTACTACTGCTCTGAAGGCTGGTTTTTCCTGCCATTTGAAGATGGAAATAAGCAAGTAAGATTCCACCTCCAATTTATTATACAAAGCATATAGGCAAAGACTCTACACCATTTAACTTTGCAGTGCCCTGGTTTCCACATATGTGAAATACCACTTAATTAATTGATCTCTAAGGAAACTTCTAGCTTCAAAGTTCTATAACTTTACAATTATTAAAAAATAAATTAAACCCATAAATAGCTGGAGAGAAATAATAACATTTCCAGAGAGAAATATGTTATTAGATATTAAACCATCATTATTTTAGTGCCCAACATGTTACAGGTAATCGAAAAACCTTGTCTCATTTAATCTGCCCAGCACACATACGCAATTCCTATTTCACATATGCAGAAACTGAGGTTCAGAAGGCTGTAGTGACTTATTCAAGATGACACAGTTGGTAAGTAGTGGAGCTGAGATTTTCAGCCACATCTCCTTTTCTTCAAAGTCTACTCCCTAACCTTATCATGCCAAATTACCTTACTATGGTCAAAACATTATCATTACCTTTTAGGAAAAGCTACTGGGCAGAATTACAGAAAAAAATATCTTTTTATTTGTCAATTTGTCAATACGGCTAGAAAAACACCCTAAGGACTGCCCAATTGATAAAAAATATTGAGGACATATGTCATTTTGAAATGACTTCCTTAAATATATGGAATAGATTGTTGATATGAATGCTGATCAAATTCAATTTAGATGTGAATTTCCCATTTGAAAAACCTCAAACTCTAATACTGATCCAGGCTATGGAGAGTGAGGGATTAAACCTTATTTGTTTGAGAAAGGGTCTCAGTCCATCACCCAGGCTGGAGTGCAGTAGCATGATCAAGGTTCACTGCAGCCTCGACCTCCTAGGCTAAAGCAATCCTCCCACGTCAGCCTCCCAAGTAGCTAGAACTTGGGAGCACACCTGGCTAATTAAAAAAAATTTTTTTTAGAATGGGATCTCACTATGCTTCCCAGGCAGCTGGTCTGGAGCTTCTGGGATCAAGCAATTCTCCCAAACTGCCGAGATTACAGGCATCAACCACTGTGCCCGTTCTAAATCTGATTCTTGAGAGGCAAAAGAATAGAAAACATATGAATATTCTAATGCATATAAAAGTATTTCCATAGTTTCAAGATTACATTATATTTTATTTCATTGAAAATAGGCAACAAATATTACTAGCACCTGTAAGAGAATAACTGCTTGTGACAGAAAAATTGAAATGAATCATAAAATTTTGGAAATGTCTAAAATTATAACGATAATATTTATAAATGAAAAGCTATATTTTATAGCAAAATAAAAATTTGTGTAGGTATGTTTATATAAGCATATATTATATTTAGGTGCTGAGTCAAAAATCAAATATAAAAAATGCATTAAGTAGCATCTATTTGTTGGAACAGACTTCAAAGGTAAACTCTACACAGATTTTGCATTACCTTTTGAAATAATAACTTAGCTGAAATAAATTCTCTTTGAGACCAAACAGTTTGATCTTCAAGGTGATTTTGAGCTGGCAGGAAAGATAATTTTGGGGGAATACACAGAATCAGCTTAAGATAATGACATTGGCTTTGAAAAATAATTTCAGGAGTAATCTGCATTTCTAGCTGCAGGCTTACTCTTCACCATATTCCAAACTCAGAACTCACAGAAATTAACAAAAAATAATTTTAAATGCTTGAACTAGCACATTAATACCTCGTGACAACAGTAGCTTGTTTATTGTAACTGATATTCATTTGAACAGCAACATGCAAAATGTCGGCATTTCAAGTGGATTAATCAGTTGATATCCCTAATATAATCATCCATTTTGGACAAGGTGCTGATGAACACATGCTCAGATTGAAAGTAAAATGAGGGTAACTATAATTTTCCCAAGGGCCATAAGCTTAAGCATATGAATGAAATCACTAAATAATCTAATTTTCACTGGCTTCACCTACATGAGGCAGTTTCTCAATAGCCATGTGAAGCTTCCCCAGTGTTAAACATTTCTGGGAGTCCCGAGACACTATCTCGTGCTCTCATATGTAATCATGAGTAGATGCCTGCTGGGCATTGCGGCTCCTCTGACAATGCTCAGCAAGGCACCACAGCCTCTCCTGCTGCTCCACAAGGCCCAGCTCTGGCTGGTGTGCTTCACTAATACTATATCACACCACCGTGCTGGCTTTTCCAGGGTGCACGACACTCCTCTGCCTCACCCTGTTAGGCACACTGATTTCCTGGGCCTCGACAGTGTACGAGCAGTATCTGGGTTGTATAGGAAATGAGATTATGATCCACCCTGACTCCCACCTGGTTACAATGGATAAGGTACAGACTCTAGGAACTGAAAGCTAGTTTATGATCACTTGTGGGTTTATTAGTAAACCAGATTTATTAGCAATCTGGGCAAGTGCCCAAGAGGCCCTGAGAACCACAGTAACTTGGATTGGACAATGCAATTTGGATCCAAAGCCAAAATGTGTCATTGCATCCCCACTCACATTCAGGCCCTGGAGTCATCTGGAGCCTGGGTGGACTGGGAGGGTAAGAAAGAAATAGATCTTGAGAGCAAACTCGCCATCAAGCCAGGTGCAGGGAACATCACAGTCCTGTCCCATTTGACCCCATTACTGGCTAGCCAGAGTATAAAGAGGAAAGAGTAAAAGGTTGACTCTCTCTCACTGTGCTTTATCCCATGGAAGCAGAGGGCTGCAGAACGTGAGCACCACTGCTAGCAAGAGACTTGTACAGGAGCAGTCACTTTTTAACACAGGGACATTCTTCCTAACAGGAGGCTGTCACCAGTCCAAGGAGCTACCCTTCTCCTTTGTGAGGAAGCAGGGATGGGGCTGGCAGAGAAGCTAGAAGCTTTCTTTCAAGGCCACAGCCCTGAGGGGAAGAAGTTTCCTCCTCTGTAAAAACATGAAGATGGTAGATTAAATTTCTTCCTTTGAGACTAGGCAGTTGATGAAGTGCTGGTGAGGAAAGAGCAGAGGGAAAATGGCTGAGCTTACTTTGTGTTATACTCTATTTGAGGGATCCCAAAGCACACTAGTCTATGCCTCCCAAGTGTTAGAAAGTTTATTAAGGGAGTTTTCAGCTTTGACTTATCATCTTCCTGCCTTACTGGTCTAATGGGCTGGCAGAGAAGACAATCCAAGTGGCAGCCACTAGTGCAGAGAGCCCCCTTTCCTTCCAAAGAAAGAAAGTATGTGCCATTGGTGCAATCGCTGACCTGTCACACTTGACTATTTTCCCTTAGAATTAATTCTCTTCCAGTCCCCTTCCTCCCTGAAAATCTTTGCAGCAGACCAAGAATTTACCAAACACACACTATATATGTCTATAATGTCAGCCATAATTATCATTAGAGTATTTTCTCCAAGAGTCTCTTCCTCACTCAATACAAAGACAACTTGTGGGTCTGTCCTGCGAGTTAACCAGACTTTGCCAGTCATGTCTGCACTTAAGCAGTGAATCTGATCCAGACGTAAGTTGTTATTCCCAACTCTGCATAAATCATAATCTCATTTTGTAAGCAGGTACAGCAACAAGAGCTGGTTTATTTAAGGAGAGCTGACCTTTGAGACACTTAAAATGTGAAACTAACAAAGAAGATAGAGGAGTTCAAGAAGTCATTTAAATGGAAGAGTCTATTAATTCATCTATTCGTTATTTCACTCAGCATTTATTTAGTACTTTTGTAAGTGCTAAATACAGTGTGTAAAGATAAAATAATAATAATAATAATAATAATAGGCCGGGCGCGGTGGCTCAAGCCTGTAATCCCAGCACTTTGGGAGGCCGAGGCGGGTGGATCACGAGGTCAAGAGATCGAGACCATCCTGGTCAACACGGTGAAACCCCGTCTCTACTAAAAATACAAAAAATTAGCTGGGCATGGTGGCGCGTGCCTGTAATCCCAGCTACTCAGGAGGCTGAGGCAGGAGAATTGCCTGAACCCAGGAGGCGGAGGTTGCGGTGAGCCGAGATCGCGCCATTGCACTCCAGCCTGGGTAACATGAGTGAAACTCCGTCTCAAAAAAAAAAAAAAATAAATAAAAATAATAATAATAATAATAATATTTACTTCCTGTCCTTAAGGATCTCACAGTCTAGATACAAAGGCAGACATGTAAACAGGAAGATGATACCTACGATAAATCCTTTTCCACAAAATGTGGGCATAATACATTTTATAAAAATGAAACATGATAAATGCTATAACAGACACATAAAGTGCTCTAAAGTACAGGAAGAAACTAATTTTTGCTATAATTTTTACTATTTTTACTAGAATCATTAGGCAGTCCCTAAATTGGAAAGATTTGTGAATATATAAAAAATGATAAGTACTTAGGCTTAATTTTTTCATACATGACTATTCTAGGCCTGAATTTCTAGTATAGTATTTCCTGAATGTACTTATTTTTTTAAGTTTATTTATGGAATAATTATGGTAGAAATGACTAGTGATGACCTTTGGGTTATGCAAATAGAGATTTTATAAAGTAAACTCAGTTGCTGAGAAGTCATCAGAGCATCTTGGTCTTGTGGAAAAACACAGTTATTATTTATTGATAAATTATTTCCTGCTTATGTAACTGATCTGCTATGTTAAAGCATTAAATTAACATTTTGGAAAATCAAACAAATATCTTTCTACAAATAGAAAGGATCATTTTAAGGTTTTTAATTTGTTTGTTTCTTGCTTTTATTCAGCTTTCTGAGATAAAAATTAAAGAATTAAAAATATTCCTTATAGTTAATAAGTTTTAAATTACTTAGAAGTCACTGTAGCTCATTTGATCTATATTATTTTTCTGAACTCGTGGGACAAATCTCTACATCCATACAGACAGCTCCTAAATATCAATGAATTGAAGGATTTGGGAATATGGCTGACTGATTGTATCATGCTGCTTTACTTTTTACATTGCTTTTCTTTATTCAATCTTACTTTTCATTTCAGTCGCCTTTTTCCAGCCTTGTCTTTTCATGCCTTGGGCTCTTCAGTGGTACACTGGAATCTTGTTTAACTCTTTGGTGGACATCAGTTTCAGTAAGTGATTCTGTGTCTCTCTCTTGGGAAACCTGGTATAGACCTCTCCTTACAGACAATATTCACATATAGAATAGACACACTTAGTATAAAGTAGAAATTCATACAAACAAAAAAGTAAATGAATCTAATGTTTATGGGAATTCATGTTTCATATAATTAGTGATCATGTATGGTAAAACATCTATTGTTTCTTCTGCTAGTAGCACCCTGGTTTTTCCTTGTAGACTTATCCATCCCGAACTCAGTTCATATTACCAGACAGTCAATGACAATGGTGTTGCCCAGGAACCACAGTGTGTGTATCAGAAGTGGTCATATGAGCCAAGAAGGGTTCATTAGAGCCAGCCCTGAGACTTCTGCAGGAACTAATGAGTTGGGGTTTCTGTTTTGGTAAGAGTAAGCTCGAAGCTTTTGGAACCAATCTGCTGCCTAAGAATAACACCATTACAAAGAAAGCAAAGTCAAGAGCTGGAAATCTTGGTCCTGATAATATTGTTTGAGGCCCTAGATATAGCTGGTCCTGAGGCTAGTGTAATCTTATACATTTCGGAAAAGTGAGCCAATAAATTGCTAAGTTTATTATAGAATATTATATTTATGCTTCAAGTTCACCTTTATCATACTGTTTAATTGTCTCTTATTTGTTCCCCCTACTAGATTTGAAATGCCTTGAGATCAGAATTCCCACTAGCTGGCAAATAACAGATGCTCAATAAATATTTATTTGACAACAATTAAGAATCTATCCTTAAAATGAAAATCACACAGCTAGATACTTAGCAACATTGATAATATATATTAACATTTTTCAATAAGGGCTAGATTTTATAGTGATCAAATTATCATATTTGTGGGGAAAAAATGGAATACTACTTGGCTTAAAAATACCTGGGAAAGGCTGCACCAATAAAAATTCTGCTAATAAAATTTCAAAAATAAAAGATATGTGGAGAAAAATCACACCTTTCATTATAATTAAAGTTACTGGTATTATAAATACTGACCGACAGGATACCTACATGAAGTCTCACAGTCTAGTTTCTACTCTGCTTACTTGTATTAGTCCATTCTCGCACTGCTATAAAGAACTACCTGCGACTGGGTAATTGATAAAGATTGACTCACAGTGCCATAGGCTTAACAAAAAGTATAACTGGGAGGCCTCAGGAAAATTACAATCATGATGGAAGGTGAAGGGGAAGCAAGCTCATCTTACCATGGCAGAGCAGGAGAGAGGGCTGGAAAGGAGAGAAGTTGTGGGGGTGGGGAGAAGTGCCACACACTTTTAAACCTGCAGATCTCATGAGAACTGACTCACTAGCATGAGAACAGTATGGGGAAATCCGTCCCTGGGATCCAATCGCCTCCCACCAGGTGCCTCCCCCAACACTGGGAATTACAATTCAACATGAGATTTGGGTGGGGACATAGAGCCAAACTCTATTACTACTCTAACAAATGAATGGCGAAGTTATATAATATGTAACAATTCCAGTATACAATTTCACTTGACTCTATCTCTGTTGGGACGATGTTGTTATAATTGTAGAAATCACCCTTCATTCAACTAAATCTGTATTTAACCATTCGGAGAGTTTCCTTTTGTGTCCCACCCTGAAAAGTCTTTAAAGAGAAGACTAGAAATATTATTACATGTCACTGCTTAAACCACCTGTTAGTGGGGTCTATTTATCTATGGGATTTCTGGGTAAATTAGGATTAATAACTAAGATCAGTAATTCACAAAACATAATTTGCCATTCACGATAAGCAGTGTTTAGAGCGGCAGGTAGAGGTAGGGACTAATCATAAAACTTTATTTGAGTGAGGAGTTCTTCGTTTGAATATTATAGGTTTTTTTCTGTTTTTAAATCAGTAAAAGAAACTGGTCCTAGAAGCTCCAGTGATCTAAGTGACAGCGACTTTGTGCATTCTTTTTTGTTGTTGTTTGCTTAAATACATTTAAATTAGTACACTCTGGCACACCTCATTTGCATGAAATCTGCACCATACTTGCTCATTGTAGTAAAGTTATACCCTTCCCGAGGTGGGGGTTGGGGGTAACTACTCTGAAGATAATTTTCACTGAAATCTAACCAAACTTCATTAACTGGATTGTGACAAGATTATAAATGATATGAAAAATAACAATCTAACATTTGTTCATCAACTTTAAGAAAATGGCTTGCCTATATAAATTTTTGTAATTAAAAAAAATAGCATATTCTACCTTCGTATGGTCCTCAGAATTAAAGCATAATGAACAGGAAAGAAAAGAAAAAGAATGCAACTGAGTGCTAAGGCAGAACATCTTATGAGAAGCAACTAATGAATGTAGAGTATATACTAAATATCAAGTGCAGAGTTTCATAGGGCCAACAGGGTAACAGTCTGTACACATTTTTCACTTACACAGGTGAGGTGGATTTTGCAATTAGCAGTTGCATTAAATGCACCAAACACAATTTCAAAAATATACCTAAAACCTATAATAAACCTACACTCTACTTCCACTATCATGAAGGACTCATGCCTCAAAGGAATAACTATACAAAAATGAACAAGCATACACTTCCCTCAAATACTCAGCAGATCCTCTTCCCACAATCAACACAAACTTTTACTCAACAAAGGGTGAGGCTCAGCCATCAGTAGGTGTGGAATTATTCCAGTCTCTCAAGGTAGTTGACTCTAGGTTTTCTTTCTTCACTTGGAGTTTTTGTTTAACTGAAGTCTAACAGAAAGTTCAATGTTGAATGACTTCCAGCCAACAGAACTTCAAGATTTCCTTTAAGATTGCTTGGCTTCATTTTGGGAAAGAGACTTTAACACATTTTTTATTATATTATTTACATCATCTTTCCTGGTTTAGAAAGTTGAGTTCTGTGTGATTCTACGAGCTGACATTTGGTATGCTTTGTTTTTTGGTGGTAAGAATTATTCAGCAAGTCTTTCTATTGTTTGCTTTCTGAATTCTAACATTTTAACTTTGGAAGGCAAGACAAGCTTACTCATTTTTTTAAAGTTTCTGCTTCATACGATGTATCTTCATTTTTATAAATATGTTTGCTTGCATGTTTGTTTTTGTGCAATTCTATTTGTCCAGTTCTTCTTAATCCTTTGGGATAAGTCAGTTATTTAGTAAGAGACTTCTGTGCCACTTCCTTGCAATAACAAGCAGACACTTCTTTTATTATTTTTTTAATGAATAAGCAACACAGTTTCTAACCACTGTTTTAACTGAAGTATTAAAGGATGCATGTGGGTCTCAGTGATCCAGGCTAAAGTACCTTTGAAAATATTCTATGGAAGATGCTCTTATCCACATGAATAGGAAAAAAAAATGTCATGGACATCTATTTTGTTCTCCCAGGTACATATGAGTATTGCTGCAAACACTGCAATTTCTAGGGGCACTTCAGCCCAGATCCTTTAAATATAATCCAATTCTCATTTCACAGTTATATCAGTAGCTAAGATGACTTGATATCAGGTGATAGGAACTGATATAAAGATCTGTGAACTTCATTCTGATAAATTTTGAACTGCATTTGATTTATTTTCTATGTGACTTTTATCATTAAAGTTAGAAGGAATTATAAATTAAAAAAAAAATCTACCTGCAATCCCAGCAATCCCTCTTCGCATTTTAATATTTGTATATCTAGATTTTCTTTATTTAATAATCTATCTTGACCCTTAAATTATGAAGAACTTTCCAAAATGTGTGCTCTTTAAAATAGACATCCTGCTTACAGAATCTGCCTCCACAGCTTTGAATGTACAAGCAGAATCTTGAGGTAATCTCTCGTAGCCTAAGTAGGCAAGGTTATACTTTTTGGAATAAATCCTTCTTGTTTCCTGTTGACTTTATAAGCACTCTCTTCCTATATATCATGGACAAAATAGTTTGGAAGCTGCTTCTTGGATTTATGAGTCATTTAATAAAGTCATCTCCCCCACTCAGGTTTTTCCTAAATCAATAAAGTTTTCAAAAGTAATTGATTCAGCCAAAAGAAGTCACTAGAGAGCTTTACAAAGGACTCCACATACAAGGAACTCTGTTGAATATCAACAATTGTATTCTAGATTTGTGTGTGATTCAACCTCGTAACAATACCAGTGTCTGGCACAGGGTAAGCCAGCAGTCGCTCCTGAATAAAAATCAAAACAAAATGAAATAAGTAACAAAAAAAATCCCAAATCTACAGTATCAATGTTGGTGTTGAAGCCCAATGGGCTATTGACTGCTTCTTAAATTTAAGTCTTTGAATAATGTGAGATGCTAATGAAAAATTATTTAATATTGTGGCCATTTTATAAAATAGCCTAGAACATTAGCAATAACCAACATTTTAAGGCACTTAATATGTACCTTACATTAAATATATACGACACTGCCCAAGTGGCAAGCTGCAGGGGAGGATAAATCAAGCTTTGTGTGACTCAGATGCCCTTTGCAACACCCTTACAATACATGTAGCATTCTGCAGATATTTATATGAATCAAGAGTCCATTTAGTTTCTACTAGGTTAAATTTCCTGACCTCTAGCAAAGCAGGACAGTTAGATACTCTAATATGATTCATATTTGGGTCCCACCAAAGATCTGTCCAGAGATGGACTTTTTGTGTGGTTCAAGGCACAGGGAAACCTCTAGATTATGAATCCCAGAATGCAAATCAACTGGTATTTAGGTTTTTCATTGAGTACATGAAAATAAATTTCAACTGCCTTCTCCTTCCTTAAGAAGAACCTTATCTGACTCTGAAAACATTGTCAATGGGGTATATGCAATAGAAGAGGATAAAGTGAACTGAAATGAATTAATAGAACTTTATTAAAGCTACTATGCATATAACTAGTTTTAAAAGGTAAAGAAACAACGGAAAATGAGCTCAGCAATATATTAGGAGTTACCCAACCTAGAAAGTATGACAGTGATAAAACTACTGCAACATTGAAGAGAGAGAGAGAGAATTTCTAAGGCTGCCTGATGAGTCTTTGAAACAGAAATCCAGCTGGCTCTAACCTTTTAGAAGACGGTATTTTTTCTAAAATATGGTTAACAGCTTATATGACTTATTCTCCATCAAAAATGAACTCTGAAGAGCAACCTGAGTCTAGGAATAACTTCTAATATCTAGGATGAGCAACTGCGGTTCTGTTTGCTCACTAACCTCACAGTGTCATTTCCTTTACGAGTAGATTTGGCATTTTGATAAAATTTATTTTCTTTCTGCTTTTTTTTTCTTCGGGGGGGGGGACAATGGGAATTGACCACAGATTATAGTTGCCAGCACCATTCTAGGTGCCAAGGATCCTTGGCACCTTATCACAAGTACCTCTCAGGCTGGCTGAGAAGGGAAATGTCAGCAATTAGGATACAGTGACAAGTGCTGTGATGGGTCACAGGTGCTCAAATTTCATGGCTGCATGGGGAAGGGTAACAGGGGCAGAGTGGTGGTGGGAAAGAAAGTTTCTTAAGAGATTTTGTAAAGGACATGTGTGGTCCGGGTGAACAAGCGGGTAAGGATTGCTCTAGGCTAATAAGCTTATGAATGAAGGAACAAAGCTGTGACAAAGCATCCTTGAGGAATTGGAGATAATTAGGTATGGGATGAGTGTGAAGATGCAGATAGTGAGTGTTGGGAGGTGAGGTCAGAGTCTCTCGTTAGCCAAATACTCTGTACCTTCTGCTATTCACAAGGTGATGAACCAACCACTTATGAATAAGTCCTTTTGCTGTTTTGTGCATGTGTTCCTTCCTGTAACTCAGTGGGTGTGTGTGTGTGTGTGTGTGTGTGTGTGTGTGTGTGAATATTCCTGCCTAATAAGTTGTTAGCTCCTTGAGGACAGGGACTGCATAACTCAGGAAACATTTTAGACTGAGCATCATCCTTGAAGTCAGGGCAGTGCAAAAGTGGTACCCTTAAGGGAACATAACATATAAAAGCTGAGACCAGTTAGAAAGCATTTTTCAAGTCAATTGTTGAGTAAAAATGAAAGGAATGTAGACTATATTTTAAATATGTATGGATCACAAAACAATGTTAATTAAAGACTGTTTTCCAAAGGAGACACATGCCGGATTTACAGGAAAACATGGACAGAAGTTAACAACTAGAAGCGTTTGTAAAGTCACATGACTGGGAAGTCTCACACTGCTTGTGGGTGATGGCAGGTGGATTCGCTGAAACAGTAGATAGGATAGTG